CTTATAATATCCGCCATCAAAACCGTCTGGAACAGGGGCTTTGTTCCCTTTGAGGGCCGAGATCGCATTGTCGATCTCCTCACTAGTGATCCTTTTGCTAAGCTTTCCCACTCCTTCAGGGTGTAGTTCAGGTAGTATTAGTTTGGAAAAAAAGGCACCTACATGCTCTTCCTCTTCATAAAGGGGTGCCTGGCCCTGCTGGGTGTGGACTCTGTAAATACCGACGCAATGTCCTTCAGTTCGGTTTTCAATGTCCCACCCCTGTGTCTAATACTCGTTATGTGTGTCACAGAGTGAATCCACTTTATTGGCCTTCTCGTAAAAAGGTCCTCTTGGACCACAAAATATTCCTGGTCATGTCTTCCAGCAGGAGGTCCCGAATAGACAACCGTACCGCTTTAAATTGAGGTAGGAAGTCTGCAGTGCAGTCTGCTTTAGGGCGTTGTTCCAAGATGCGTAGTGATTCCAGTAATGAATGCAATAACTGAGTATTGCGTTTCTTTTTAACCATCGCCAGCTGAATAAATGTTCCTCGAATAATCGCCTTATGAGCAGCCCAAACCGTACTCGGCGTAAGTTCTCCCGTATCGTTTTTTATAAAATAATCCTGTAATTCTTTGCAAATAGCCTAAACGATCATAGGGTTGTGCAGCAAAGAAGCATTCATCTTCCAGGACCACGGGGAGGCCATACACAGATTGACTAACTTGAGGGATACATCCGCGTGGTTCGACCAAGTGATCGATCCAATCCCAGAGCCGACAACGTGGGCCAGACAATGATTGTTAACTAGGAAATAATCTATCCATGAATACGAGTCATGGGGCGCTGAATAGAAAATATAGCCTACATCAGTTGGGTGTTGTGCCCTCCAGATGTCTAAAAGCCCCGTAGTCTGAAGGAAATTGTGGACCAATTTGTCCTATCCCCCTCTGTCCTGTGAATGTGGGACCCCTCTATGTGACCTGTGGTCGACAGCAGGACACGGTACAGAATTAAAATCTCCACCCATAAGGATCATGCAACCCACAGCGACCGGAAAAAAAGATAGAAGAGGGAGAGAAAGGAAGAAAAAGAAAGATAAAAGAAAAAAGCACGAACCAGTCGTGCCATTCGTCCAGTCTGACAAATCGCCAGACCTCTATGGGGTTCAGGTATCGTGTGGGAAATGGTGACTCATAGACCGAGACAGAACCACATATCCTGCCATATCAAGCAATACCAACATTATAACATATTTTTCAGAGGTCTCTGGGGAACGCCCATCTCCAACCTTGAACACTCCCATTTGGAGGCAGGGGTGGGAGGGGGCAACAATGTCAAATGGGTTGAGGGACAAAATTCCGGTTCTCTCCCTAGACCTATTGATCTGAGCAATGGAGGGACCAAGGTGTCACTCTTTCCTAATGATCTATACGCTAGGGATCTAGCTTCCTGGCTCGAGGCAAATTGTTGCTGTGGACACCCACTACCGCTGTCTAATTTGTTGTCTATAACAATTCCCAAATCCTTCTCGTGTATGGTTATTCCTAATTCACTACCATTTAGGGTGAAAGTTGCTTGTGCATTCTTGATCCCGAAGTGCATACCTTTGCATTTCTCTATATTAAATTTCATCTGCCATTTTAGTGCCCAGTCCCCCAATCTATCCATATCCCTCTGCAGCAAAGCAATATCCTGCTCACATTTTATTACTTTACAAAGTTTTGTGTCATCTGCAAACACTGAAACATGGCTTTCAATGCCTATTTCAAGATCATTTATAAATATGTTAAATAGAAGCAGTGCCAAAGCAGAACGCTGACGGACACCACTTATATCTTTTGTCCAGCTTGAAAATTTGCCATTAATGACAACTCGTTGTTCTCTATCCTTAAGCCAATGTTCTACCCAAGAACAAGAATAATCATCTAGACCAATTTATTTTAGTTTGAAGACTAACCTATTGTAAGGAGCCGTATCAAATGCCTTGGCAAAAGCCAAGTAGATCACATCCACTGCAACACCATGATCTATATTTCCACTTACTTCTTCGTAGAATGCAATTAGGTAAGTTTGACATGACCTATGTTTCATAAAACCATGCTGATTATTGCTAATAACAAAGTTCTTCCCAATAAATTCCTGAATATTATCCCTTAATAGCCCTTAATTTATTTTCCCAGTCACAAGTTAAGTTCACATGTCTATAATTTCCAGGCAAGGATTTTGAACCATTTTTAAATATAGGAACGACATCTGCCTTCCTCCAATCCTCTATTACAATACCTGAAACAAAAGAATCTTGAAAAATTAAATACAAAGGTTCACTTCTTTCCCAACTTAGCTCCTTAAGTACTCGTGGGTGAATACCGTCAGGCCCCAGAGCTTTACTTACATTAAATTTCTTTAACAGCTGTAACACCTTGTCTCGAGTCATCCAATCACAAGTTATCTGCAAGGTTTTTGCAGCAATCATTTTCATATCTCTTACCATAGGATCCTCATTACTATATACTGAAGAAAATTTATATTTTTAAATTGCTGCCTTTTTCTGCTCTGCATTAGCTAACAGATCCATCTCTGTTTCCAGTGTACCTACACTTTCATTTTTTGTTTTTTTTAGAATTGGTGTACTTGAAAAATTTTGGGGGGTTGGTTTTGCATTCTTTGGCTATCAATTTTTTATTTTCTAGTTTAGCCACTTTAATTGCCTTTTTGCAAGCATTATTGGCTTCCTTATATTATATAGGATGCCTCTGATTTGTCCAATTTAAATGCTTTAAATGCCATTTTCTTATTTTTAATCTCTTGTTTTACTTCTCTACTAATTTGTTTCTTTTATATTTATTACCCAATGGTACATACTGAGAAATAGTTTTCATTTATCCTCAGTGTTTCTTTCACTAAGAAGTTTATGCCAGTCGATATGTTGTAGAGCTGCCCTAATCTTATTGAAATTGGCTTTTTAAAAATTATAAGTTTTAGTATACCCACGTGCTTTTGCTTTTTTGTGTTTATTAAAAACATTACCATAGTGTGATCATTATTTCCCAAATGCTCCCCTACTTGAATGTTGGTCAAAAGATCAACATTGTTTTTTTATAATGAGATCCAGACAAGCATCCATTCTAGTTGGTGCTTGTACCATTTGTGACATGAAGGTGTCATTTTACACATTCAAAAACCTGATTCCCCTTGCTGAAGCACTAGTCACTCTATTCTAATTTATGACCGGGTAATTAAAATCTCCAATAATTAATGAGTTACCCCAATTTGCAGCTTTCCCAATTTGCTCTAACAACTGTTCTTCCTCATTAATATTTACATTAGGTAGTTTATAACATATCCCAACCAATAATTGATTTCCCTTTGTTTGCCCCAAGCAGATATCTACCGATAAAGCTTCCACATTTTCCTCGTCACACTACACATGCCTAAGATTTGACTTTAACTCATGGTTGACATACAAACATACCTCACCCCTCTTTTTATTTTTCCTATCCTTCCTAAATAACGTGTACCCATTTAAGTTACCTGCCCAGTCATGTGTCTCATCCCACTATGTTTCTTTTATGCCTATTATATCATTATGTTTAGTGTATGCTTTTGCCTCTAGTTCCCCCATTTTGTTATTGTATTGTTATATGTATTGTTAAAATTTTGGATTATAAACTATCTGACTCAGAAGCATCAGTTCTCTCCTTCAATTCTGATGTGGTCTAATTTTTCAGAAGGATGCAACTTAAAGGACCACTATAGTGCCAGGAAAACATACTCGTTTTCCTGGCACTATAGTACCCTGAGGGTGCCCTCACCCTCAGGGACCCCCTCCCGCCCGGCTCTGGAAAGGGGAAAGGGGTTTAAACTTACCTTTTTCCAGCGCTGGGCGGGGAGCTCTCCTCCTTCTCTCCTCCTCCGATCCTCCTCCTGGGCTGAATGCGCACGCGCGGCAAGAGCTGCGCGCGCATTCAGCCCGTCGCATAGGAAAGCATTTACAATGCTTTCCTATGGATGCTGGCATGCTCTCACTGTGAAAATCACAGTGAGAAGCACGCAAGCGCCTCTAGTGGCTGTCAATGAGACAGCCACTAGAGGATTAGGGGGAAGGCTTAACCCATTCATAAACATAGCAGTTTCTCTGAAACTGCTATGTTTTTAAAAAAATGGGTTAACCCTAGAAGGACCTGGCACCCAGATCACTTCATTAAGCTGAAGTGGTCTGGGTGCCTAGAGTGGTCCTTTAATGAATACTTCCATTACAAAGAGAGCACAATGGATTACAACAGCAGGAAAAAGAACACTAATTTCACTCCAGCACAAGGACGAAATGCCAAACTGGGTAGTTACATTGAAAGTTTCCATGTAAGAGCAGTATCCTTGACAACCAAGCAAAGCCAAAAGAAAATATTTCATAATCTCTCAGTATAGGAACAAACGGCCATGAATGACTTGAAAAATAATTATGCTATCACCATCAAACAAGCAGATAAGGGAGGAGCAGTAGTGATAATGAACACCCACAACTACATAAAAGAGAGGGACAGGCAATTGTCAGATGACAAATTCAAGTTTTAGAATGTTTGCAATATTTTCAATAAAACAGTTGTGGTGTTGGAAAGATGGAGGAGTATGACACGTACAAAGGCTGTTATTTTAACTTTATGGTTTTGGATCTGTATTCATGTTATTTCTGGGTTATGATGGAAGACTTTGATCAGAAGCTCAAAAGTAAAATTAAATTGAAAAGAAAACATAGGGCAGCCCTGCATAATCCCTATTCCAATCATGATTGTTTTACAATAGGCTATTATTGAAATGAAGGTGTACAGTTGGTCATATAAGCCCCTAATGAGGTGAAAGAAAAGACAACAAATAATATATATTTGAAGATCAACATTAAATGTGGGCACAATCATCTGGTCAAGTGGTTTGTGTGCATCCAGGCTCACAAATATTTGTTTTGGATGCCACCAGTGCTACACTGTAATATATTTATTAATTAAACGTATTTAGATTGTCTTTGATCCTCCAGCTTTCCCAGAAGAAGATGTGGATGTTCTATCACTCTCCATGATTGGCATATTGCCTCTCAAACATTCAAAACTGTACCAAATGATGAATTGGAAGATATTATCATTGTTATAAATATTTGATACAGCACCCAGAGAATCTTGTTGCTAAAAAAGGTAAGTAAATATGATAACATTAATGATGATGAATGTTTGATACATTTATTGAATTCATAAATTAAGATAACATATTAGAAATGATGGACTCTCCTAAATGAGCCAATTCTTGGGCTCATGGCACCCCAGTCAGTATATCTTCTGTACTCTCCAGGTCTCAGGTAATACTGGCGGCCCCTGTAGTTGGGCTCCTCATAGAACATCCAGTAGCCATCAAGCACCTGGCAGGAGTTGATGTCATGGTAACGGAATCTTTCATGAGTATTAGGACAATCTTCAGTGAACTCCATCATTTGACCTCTGAAGTCATCCCTCTCATAGACCTTTACCTTGAATGATCCGTGGTGCTTTATGAGATTTAAAATATATATATATATTTTATAAATAGAATTAAAAAAATAGCATAATTTAATGTGAATATCAAGAACCTATACTGTGAGCATAATTTTGACATTGACCCACCTATTCCCATGAAAGCTAATGCTGGCTTAGTCACTTAACAATATAATACATAAAATGTATATAATAATATAATAAAAAAAATGTAAAAAGATATTTAACAATGTTATTTAAAAAAATAAGGTTATATTTTCAAACCTGAAACCTTTATTAATTATTAATACCAACCAAGAATGCTTTTTTTGGAGAGAAACAATACGTTTGTAAAAAAAAATGCTTAACTTTTCTGGTAAATCTATTTACCTGTGGGCTAACACGGCAGGATCTGATGGAATCATTAAAACCCATCCATTGCTGAAAATTAGGATATGCTCCCCTGCTAAGGTAATACTGGTGTCCTCTGTAGTTTGGGTGCTCATATAATATCCAGTTTCCACTTTCCACTCGGATGGAATTGCAGCGATGAAAATATGAGGTCAAGTCTGGACACTCAGAGCTACACTCATAAGATCGTCCCTGAAAGTTACGATCCTCGTAGAAGACAATCTATAAATTGAATTGTGCATTAGAATATTTTATACTTTTAAATGTATACATTTTTATTTAGTTGATAATGATGTATCAAACATAACAAGGGCTCATAAAATACACAAATGTATAAATTGTACAATTACTAAAGCTGTGAAAATGGTTTTAATAAAGGAGACAAATATAAAGTAATGCTAATTTGATTACTGTATACTTATATAAAGTAATATATTATGGTCCTGGTTTGTAATACATGCATATATTACCATTCGTGTGTCCTTTGGCAAATATGAAGAGACAGACAGGGTTTGGCAGGGACTGAGCCACCTCAGGGTATACCAGTAGTACAAATTGGATGACAGAAATCCCTCATCATGGCCATGCTCCTACCATCCCCACCCATTGCAGCAGCATTATATTAGCTATCTAATGGCTGAAGTAAGACATTTTTAAGCTATTTTACCTACATTTTAAACTCGTTATACACACACATCTGCTCACCAGTTCTTCAATTTAAAAAAACTCTATGGGTTTGTTTACAACTTTGTCACTATGTTTTATTGACTTATCACTACTTTTTATGATGCCTGTCGCTACTGCTAACGAGAAGTTCCTGACTGCAAATTTATACTGAAAGCCAGTCAATGAGTTGTGGCTAAAGGCTCCTGTTACCTCTAACATGGTGTAAAGTGGTTAATGACCGCTAAATCCTTATACATTCTGTTGAAACCATACGTCGTGTTCCAACCCTGTCATTAAGTTTAACCAGCATGTCTTCAAAATATTAACTGTTGGTTCAAATGTTAACAGATAATTTAACCGTTGTTTCTAATCTTTATTCTGTTGGAACATAAATAATACATTTGTGAGATAATCTTACCTTTCCCATTTTCAGTTCCGTTTTACTGTCAGTTGATCTGGTCAAGCAAGTTGTGCTAAAATTTTGGATGAAGGGCCCTTATATACCATCTATAAATCTGTTGCTGATGCTTACATACATTGAAAGCTGTGCTGTGCTGTGCTGTTTTCTTTCCACCAATAATTGGAATGTATAGCTATTGTTTTCTTTTATTGTGTTTGAAAAAAGGTCTGTATTTCCATTTGACTGATGTGTGTGTGTGTGTGTGTGTGTGATTCCTGAATCCTAGAATGATCTACACACCACATTCTGATAGGGCTTTTTTGTGAATTGAAATACTTTTAACATGTGGCAGGTCATGTTATAGTTTCTATAATGATAATTTAAAAAATGGTTTATAATTTATATCATTTTCTTTCAGATTTTTTTTTAACTTAGATATGTTATAAGATGTTTCTCAGTTTACTATCAACATGTGATTAAGCACTAACATATATTGTAGTCTTGGATGTTAGTTTTGGACTGAAATTCAATTTGTCCAAATTTGGGCAAAACAGGAGATATGAAGAATTTCTGTTTTGGAACCATCACATTCCAAAATCTCAGGGTGAGCCCAGAGGTGCTCATTTTCATTTGTGATTTGGAGTGTCATTTCTGGAAGAGGTTGCTTTTAAAATGGAGAAGGGGCTATTTTGGGGGAGTTTTGTTTTGGGTGGGTGAAAATAAGCAGCTTATTTTAACACACTGTGAAGTAGTGTGCTTAATCATATGGACTGGATCTTCTATTCAGTCAAGAGGTAGCAAAAAAAAAAAAAGTGTACTGATGATTAGGTAACAGCCATGTTGATTTTATTTACATATCAAGTGACTTTACCAACAGAGGGAAAAAAAGGTGGATCAATAAAATTACACATTCACTTTAGCTACTGAAGGACACAGACAAAAAATGAGACAGTGTGTTTACCCTTGCTGTTCCAGTATTGGAGTGGGAGTTTGACAGGGTCATTAACGGGGTCATCTAGCAGCTAGCACTACCAAGAAAAATAGAGAAAATTTTAAGTGGGATATAAAGAAGATTAGTACTTGGCAGTAAATGTTGTGATTCATTCTAGTGTGAGACTATTTTACCAATATAATACATGTTTCGGGAAAAAGGAAATCATGCGGTGTCAGGATACAAAATTAATTTTACCTAGCCTGTGTCATTGATTCTATTCTTCTTTCTTTCCTTGTGATCACAATGTCGTGATTGTTTTTAGTCCAATCCCTTGACCACATGTTACTGTTCCTGTTTCTCCTCGATTTGGGCATAAAATCTTTATTAGTTAACAACAATTTGTAATGTATCATTCTTTTTGAGCTAGTGTTTTCAGTACTGTTGAGTCTGATCACATGATGCATTAATTTCTTTCTAAAGTTTTAAACCTACATTTCCCATTATTCCCTTGTGATCACGTAGTCTAGGCAACTTGATGCCTCCTGGCAGATGCATGGGCTCCAGATACTAGACCGTCATATGGGACCGCTTGGTGAGATTGGGCTAGCTGGTGCCTGGTTAGGGATGGGGATTCTGTTTCAGCACCTGTGACTGCAACTCTTTAGTACCTTATGTCTTCATTAGAGGCTGGCCGTGCGTACCGCACTATTAATTTGTATAGGTCTGCCATTTCTTTTGCTCATGAAGGTTTTGATAGTTACCCCACAGGCCAACATCCTTTGTTGTGTCATTTGCTTTAGAGATCTCGTGTGTCACGTTTTCCTATACCTCGCAGGGCTCCTGTCCAAGCGCCAGCCCTGCAATGTGCCATCAAGACCAGAGGGGAGATCTGAATCTGGCAGGGGAGGGAGAGAGGTCCGGGGAGCTCAGCCTGCAGCTCCTCCTGATCCCAGTGAGCTGTGAGCATAAGAGCCTGAAGAAGGGAGCATGTCTCTTTATCACAACAGGGCAATCTCCCCCCCAAGCGCCAGCCCTGCAATGTGCCTTCAAGGACCAGAGGGGAGCTCAGAGAGCTGTTATAGTGAGTGTTTCCTTTTATCATGATTACAATTATAATTTTACATGTGCTGTTTCTTTTTGTCTCCTTTATTTTGAGATCTCATTTGGACATTGTGACAACTAAAGAGGAATATCCTCTTGTGAGTAGGAATAAGATAGTTTTAAGTATCTTTTGTGGCAGCACTGTTGAATCTGCATGGAATTACACCTAATAGTGTGTTTTGGCACAGTGCACTTTAGTACTTTGTTGTAAGGGTATATTGCACCAGTGTATGTTCAGTTTTTCTAAATTTTCACTTTTGTATTTAAAAATAATCACTAAGGGAGGCGTGGTCTGATCATTGTCGAGAGCAGTCGTACACCTGCAGTGTTCCGAACCCACAGTGGCATAACCTGCTTGTCACACATTACACCCAATGGTTATCCGACAATCTCCTGACTCCTGCACCCTGTGGCATCATGAGGAAGCGGACAAAATTATTAAAAAACCCACTCAGGCGAAGGAACTAGGAAGATTGGGGATCTTTCTGGCTCGGTGATGCTAGACTTCCAGGCCTCGTCTTCGGAGGAGGAACTTCTGGATGACCCAGACAAAATACCAGAGTCTGGTGATTCTTTCTCTGCACTCTCACTGGGAGACCTGGGAGCTCCAGCTAGTAAAGGTGATATTCTGGGCCTGCTGAAAAATGTACACACCCTATTCCACACAGACATTGCGTTGCTTGGGGAGGAGGTGACAGCCATCACAGATAGGATGAGAGCCAAGGAAGAAGATGTCTCTTCACTGGCACAATGCCGTATGTGCATAACATAAAAGCTGTAAATAGAAGAAGGGATAGTGTACAAAAAAGGGGAGCTGGGATAGAAGACAAATGTACAGGTACAACTAATCAATCCAGATAAAGAGAAATAATCTCAATATATTAGTATTAAAAATAAAAAAACTTTATTAATGAAAAGATGTTAAAATTGCCCAATGGCAAATGTAATGTATGCTGTGTACAAACCATAATGTGAAAAACTCAAATAAAAAAGGTGAAAAAATTACTTAATAAGTCCTGAATAGGAAAATAATAGATCTAAATATATGATCGTTACCACGTGGGGTAACTATGATCGTGATAACTAATAAGTTAATTTTTATATAACAGGATCAAATAAAATTGTATCACAAGTATCACACGTGTATGCCAAATATACTACTCAACAGACATGTAACTGGGAATAGCTGATCAATATAAGGTTGCTATAATGACATGAATACACAGTAAATTGCAAACCTCAACAATGCTTGCTGCCTATAATAATTATGTGTAGATAACGAGGTGTTAGCACTAGTTCTAAAGTGGACTCCAACTCCCATGACTGGCAGACATAGGCCTATAAATGAGACTGTCTGTCAAATATGATAACGCCTAGCACTGGAATGATGACGAATAAAGGAGGGAGGGTGGAGGTAAGATACTGAGAGGGTTCTAAGAGGGTCTAAATATAGGTAGACTTGATTAGGTGTAAATATTAAAGTGTATAAAACGGGAAAATCAAAGGGCAAACACCTATACTAAGGTTCAATTGTTATGGGAAACCATAGTTCCGACTAGGTCTAAACTAGGAATACCACTCCTATAGCTGGCAGGCATAGATGTAGGGCTATAATTTTGTTATCTGTGTGGAAGTGCCTGTGATTTAAATAGTGCCGAGAGCAGAGGGAGAGAAATGGCACTGTGATTGTAAAAACTTAAAGGCTATAAATGAAAGAAGCCTTCATGCCACAAATAGACCTAAACCACTGGTCAACTAGTAGAGAAGTCTATAAAAGAGAGATTCTGCAATGGCAAGATAGACCGTGCTAGACCGTGATAGAACAAACTGGGGAAAGCCACCGAGTACATACAGAATTTGTAATGAAACTGTTACAGTTTGTTCTCACTCATAATTTATTTCTGTTTAACAATTCCTTCTATCTACAGGTGCAGGAGACAGCGATGGGGACATCTTGTGCCCCATCGTATGCCAACCTGCACCTGGGATGGTGGGAAAGATCCGTGTTTTTTTTTCCAGGGAGCTTACCCATCTCACCAAATTTATACACACGTGAAAATGTTACATTGATGAAGTCTTGGTGATATAGACAGGCACCCTGGAAATGTTAGATGAATTTGTGGACCTCCTTAACTGTAATGGGATGAATCTGAAGTTCACTAAAGAGGTGGGTAAACGTCCTCTCAATTTCTTGGACCTTACAATCTCAGTAGATGAAAACAATCATATTCATACTACATTGTTTAGGAAACCTACGACTACAAATAGCTTTTTGTAATGGGAGAGTTACCACCCTAAACCACTTAAAAAGGGTATGCCGATAGGACAGTACCTTACAGTACGTAGGAATTGCTCGACATTAGAGGGTTTTAAGTTAAAAGCGAAAGAGCTCCGTAAACACTTCAAAGAACGAGGATATCCCAATCGATGTCTAAAAATAGCATACAGAAGAGTTTTAGACATGCATAGGGAGGTGATCTTAAAAAATGTGTACCTAATGGATTGGCGTGGACCTTTAAAAATAGAGTTCTGGGAGGCGACTTCTTACTAGCCCCAGATGAAGCCGCAACACAGTAGCGCCGAAACGCGCGTTGTGCTTTTTTAACGCTTCTTTATTTATATTGTGTTTCTAGACAACAAAAGGGGGGGGGGCTCTATGAGTGTCTTTAAACTATAGATAACACAGCAAGCTTGTATTAGTCAGAGCTTTTACCCATAAGACTTTTGATTTACGCAAGGAAATACCTTTAACTATTTCATCATTTTGGCAGATTGCTGAGTGAGTTATATTTACAAGTACTCTCTACCTACTTATTGGTATTCAGACTTAGTTTGGCAGATTGCTGAGTGAGTTATATTTACAAGTACTCTCTACCTACTTATTGGTATTCAGACTTAGTGATTAGAAGTCAGTTTGATAATTTCAATATTTTGTTGCCAGCAGCATGTTATGGTTAATATAAGTGTCATTACGTTCATCTGATAGTCTAGGTGTACATATTCTCAATTGAGTGACTTTATCGGCAGTTAACCTGAGTTGCAGGGTTCGGCCTATTATAGCACGACCCGTTCTAGACCGAGTCCACATAGAGAATTTGGGGTAGACTGACTCAGTGTAG